AGAAATTCCCTCTCTGCTGGCGCCCATCAGAGACAAAGCCAGTTAGTATCCAAAACACACAACATATTTTCATGCTTTGTGTATTCGGAAGGAGAAAGCACAATGGGAAACATGTCTCCAAATATTACCATGGAAATAAGTGATGGAAAAGCAAAGTATTACAAGGAAATCTGGAAGCAAAGCAATAGAGCTCAAAATAGGATTCATTTTTTTTTTCCCCAATAGGTATTTGGTAAAGTCTGAGTACTAATGGGTTAGGGTTTTGTCTTGTTTTGTTTTGTTTTTTAAGACTTTATTTATTTATTTGACAGAGAGAGAGAGAGACAGCGGGAGAGGGAACACAAGCAGGGAGAGTGGGAGAGGGAGAAGCATGCTCCTGGCTGAGCAGGGAGCTGGAAGCAGGGCTTGATCCCAGCACCCTGGGATCATGACCTAAGCTAAAAGCAGATGCTTAACGACTAAACCATCCAGGAGCCCCAGATTTTTTTTAGTTTTTAAAAGAAAAGCAATTTCATTGATCATGTCATATTGAAGCTGAAGACTTTAGAGATGTATTCATTTATTTCCTCCTTCCCTCCTTCAACAGTGGATGTTTGAGATATGCTAAATGGCTTTTATAGACCAATCTATAGATAAGTGACTTTTCCCTTTGACCTCCTTCATGGTACATTTCTCGGCAACATCCTTTGCATTCTACTCGGTTTTATTAAATTCCAAAGAATTTCTCACTAAGCAGTAAAGCTTCTTCTTAGCAGTGGACAAAAGCTGATTAACTTAAGCTTCTATTGGAAACCATATCAGAGGCTCATTACAGAAGGAGACAAAGCGTGAATCCAGTTTTCTTTTGCATTCATTTCTAATTGTTCCAGGGCATCAAATGAGGCCTCAATGAGTAGCTGTAACACAATGACTTTGTCTGGGAAGCTTGAAGGACTGTAAAGTGCCTGAGTTCCTGTCACTTTCAGTTCGAGTACAGTATTCCCGGCCTGGCCACTGAGAAGCAGCAGGTGCACACTGAGAAATAGCCAGCCACAATGGTGGAACGTTTCCGTGGTACTTCGCCTGTCCAAGAGAACCTATTTTTGTTTCATATTCATGCCCTGGTAGTAGAGTTCAAACTTATTTTGGGTTTGCTGATGACCATACTATCAAGAGGATATCAGTGCTTGAAGCCAAGGAGCCACCATCTGTGCTGTATTTCTATCTTAAGAATTATTTAGAAGGCTGATTATTCAGTTAGCTGGGTCTCTTGACCTTCTAGTGTTACACTAAGAAAGGTAACACTTCCTTGAAAGTCACTTCACTTTTAATAACCCACAAAATTCCCTCAATATATGGTAGGGGTGAAAGGAGTGATCACATTGCACGGGTAAGTACTGACCCCACAACGCTCTCCATGGGGTAAGGACACCATGAATGGAGATCAGAAAGTTGTTCTCCACAGCAGTGTGCTAGTCAATCATTAACAACGGGCCCTCCAAGGAAAAAACACCTGATTGATAGCAATTGTTGATTTCTGTAGCAGAATAGTAAGAAAGCTTGATAACCTCAAAAACTTAGATGAGATGGAAAAATTCCACAAAACACAAAAAATGACTAAAACTAACTCCAGAGAAAGCAGAAAACCTGAAAACCTTATATCTATTAAAGAAATGGAATTCACAGTTAAGTCTTCTCATAGGAAAACTTTAGAGTCCAAATAACTCCACTAGAGAGACATACCACTTTATACGCAACTAATGTATCACTGAACACTACGCCAAAAACTAATGATGTAGTATACATTGGCTAATTGAATTTAAGTTTAAAAAAAAAAAGAAAAGAAAAAAGAACAAAAAAAAAAAAAGAGAAGCGTATTAAATATCCTGTCACCAAAATTAGAAGAAGATGTAAGAAAATAAAACTAACTATGGATTGATAATACTTTATGAATAAAGACGGGAGAAAAATTCTTAACAAAATATCGGCAAGTCAAATCCAGCAATATATAAAAATGATAATACATCATGACCAAGTATTAAATGTTAGTTTAACATTAAAAATCTCTATAATTCATTATATTAACAGAATAAGGAAAAGAATTATCAGATCACCTGACGATACACAGCAAAATTATCTGAAAAAGTAGGCTCTTGTCTGTTACATACATAAATGAAGGATAGGAGAGATTTTCCTCAATGTGATAAAAGGCATCTAAGAAAAACCTGAAGCTAATATCAAACTTAAATGTTAAAGACTGGACACCTTCCTAAGATGGGGAAGAAAGCAAGGGTGTTTGCTGCTCATCCCTTCTAGTCGATATTGTGCTGAAGTTTGTAGGCTGTGCAGTTAAGAAAAGAAAAAAGAGGTAAATGCGATACACATTATAAGGAAGAAGAAAAGCTGTCCTTATTTGCAGATCATGTACTTATAAAAATCTAAAATAATTTACTCAAGAATGACTCAAACTACGTGAATTTAACCAAGATAGAGGACATAGCTCAATATACAAGTCATTTGTACTTTTATATATGAGTAACAAAGAATGTAAAAACAAATTCAATACTGTCTACAATAACATTAAAAAAAAACACACATGAAATGTTTCGTGATAAATTAAAAAAAAAAATGTGTGAGATCCGTGCACTGAAAACCACAAACTGAAAAACCAAGGATCTGCATGAATGGAGACATCAGTGATGTTCCTGGGTCAGAAAATGCAATATTGTGAAGATGTCATTTCTCCCCAGATTGAATGTATTGATTCAGTACGGTCGTAATCAGAACTCTCAGAGGATATTTTTATAGAAATTAGCAAGCTGAGATTGTAAGATTTAAATGGAAATGCAAAGGACTTAAAATAGCTGAAACAGTTTGGAAAAGAAGAAGCGTGGAAGCATATGGTAAGCAGAATTCTAAGATGGCCCCACGATTGCATCCCCTATTGATGCAGACCTATTTAATCCCCTCCCGTTGACTGTGGGAGGGGACCTGTGAATGTGATAGGATGTCATCCACGGTTGGGTTACATTAGATGGCAAAGATGAAGGGATTTCCACCTATGGCTCCATCCAGGGTGAGCTTTGTGCTTGTGTGTGGAGTCTCAGACTATATGTAAAACAGCCCCCATCTTTAGAAACAAATACATCGTAACCACCTCCCAGGTCAGGGGGTACACCCATTGATTGTGTGCTCAACCCTCCAGTTCAGACCCATGAAGGAGGTTCACACAGGAATACTTGTGTCTTTTGGGGAAAGAAATTCCAGGATCATGGTTTCCCAGCTTATGGTCTAGAAAAGGAGGTGGAGGCTCTGGGTAGACCAGTCATTCGGCTCAGTGACTGCCTCACTCCATAGTAGGGCCCTGAAGCTCAAGGTGGCTGGAGTAGGACCTTCCACAGCGGGCATCTCAGACTGCATATGAATGACCCCAGGATCTTATTAAAAATGCAGAATCAGAACATATCAGGAAAGGACCTGGCATTCTACACATCTAATAAACTCTCAGGGGACGTGGGGGTTGTGATCCCTGGGACTGCATTCTGAGCTGTGAAGCTGTAAATTTGGCACCCAGGTGTGAGGGCAGGTAACATTGATATTCAGTACATTTGAAGTCTGTAGTCAAATGACTAAACTGAAGTTGTGAGTAATTTTAAATTACCCATTGCCCTTGGAAAGATCTTAATGATAGTTAACATTAAGCTAATAATGTTTGGGTGGGGTTTTTTTTTCCCCATCTTGTGCATTTATCAACTGAAAATAGTTGACCCAAAAGCAGGATAAGTAACAGGAGACCCCAGTCTGGTATTGAAACTATGTGTGTAATCTATGATTGCCTCTTGTAATTATCTTTCAATATGTTTTATGAAAGGAGAAGTGTTCAAAACATCTTAGGTTTTAAGGGTGAACTTTCTTTTCAAGCTATGATTACCCATGTCATAACTGACATACTTGGAAAAGAACTTTGGAACTCTTCTGATTACTAGCTTGTGCTGGGAGTTTTATGAAAAGTGGCATTAAAATATTTACTACTTTTATTAATAAAATGTGGGGGTATGGATGGCTTACAAGAAATTAGATAAAAATTGTTTCTGCTTAATATTCATCTGCATTTTATCACTCTGTACCATTTATTATAAGACATAACTCCGCAGAGACTCTGATCCCCCTCTCTCTGGGGTAGCTGCCGTCTCCATGCCACATTTATTGACTACTTACAAAAGCATTTGTATTTTCTTTAAAATTCTGTGCTGAAGGTCTAGACCCTGGACCATTCATTTCTTTATTTTATCTGAACTTATCTCACTGTTAGTTTGAAGAAAGATAAGAGAATAAATTGAGCACTGTACTCTCTTTGGATGGCTATGTTGCTGATGGGTCAAAATAAACCTCAGGAGCCTAGATGAACATGTAAGTTATTCCAAGAGAATTAGGGTTCTTCCTTTGTGTTCCATACGCTCTGCTTTCAATGCAGCCAAAGCCCCTGCTTAGGCTATATAAATTAATACATTTGCAGGAAATGTGACTTTGGGACATTTTATATAGCAGTGATTTTAATGCTGTTAGTGGTGAAATGGAAACTTGAGAATGTGAAGATTAATTTAAACCACATGATGGGTTCAAGGAAAATACACGACAGTTTCTTGAATGTGTGCTGACTCTGTACAGTGGGGAGTGGGATCCAAAAAACCACCAGTGAACTTTTAAACCCTCTTGAGAGGATTCAAACCAACACAGTTAACCCTAGAAGGGAGCTGTTCCAGATGAGAGACACATCATTTATCTCTCCCTTGAAAACAGATTCCTTTGCCTGAAAGAACACAGTAGGAGACCAAGGAAGGCAGAAGGACCCCACGCATTCCCACTAATGGAGTGAAGTTAGAAATCCCTTTCCAGTCATTAGCTGGTTTACTGATTCGTCTTTCACTCTAGATTACAGTTCTGTTGGGTTCTTTGAACAATGGATAACCAACACATTGTATATTGTAAATGTGAAATAAAGGATTTCTTTTCCCTTCCAGTTCGTGGTAGCGGTGTTCTGGATCATTTATGCCTATGACAGAGAGATGATTTACCCGAAGCTGCTTGATAATTTTATCCCAGGGTGGCTGAATCACGGAATGGTGAGTGGACTAAAGCAAATAATTTCCTTTCATTTAAAAAAAAAAAAGGGTATTAAAGAACTATTTTCTGATTTGAGTTTTCCATAGAATCTACCTAACTGCCTGTGCAATGATGGGGGTTATGAGAGACTGTAGTTAGAGAAGAAGACTGAATGTCAATAAAACATCTTCCCATGAAACGGAGTCACTATTAAAACTATGTAGTAGATGAATCCACAGTTTGTAAGGGATTGGTGTTGTTGGATTATGCAACTGGAAAATCCTATGGATGAATTTAATTTCCGTGCTATTCAAAGACTTTGTCCCCTGTTGGAGCCTAAGAACCTAGTATCACCTATACTGCTACTGAGGCCCCGTAGCCTCCACCTCACATCAGGGGATTGTGTTGGAAATCACTATGGCACTGGGAGAAATGGCCTCAGAGAAGCAGCAAGACTATTATTTTCTCTGAGAGATCTGCTGCAGGTCCTGGAAGTGACTTTGGCAGGTTGTGCCCATCGGAGGGCATTTGCCCGGGGCGGCTAGCTCTTTCCCTTCTTCTCAGTCTGATTCCTTCTGATGCTTTAGACATGGCGTTGCCTTCACACATTTCAAGTCAAGTATTTTGGATGGTTTGTGTGTCACCTTATAAGACTTGATATATTTTCTGCAGAGAAATGTTGCATTGTCTTCCCTTTCTGCTTCTGGAATTGAGCATTTTTTTTATTAACTAGGAAGCCTGCATTTTTTTGGTTACAGCAATTTTTAGAATATGTCACTGGGTGCTCCTGGTGAAAAGGGCAACCCATCACAGAAATTATAGGGGAATGAAGAGCTAGACATCACACGTCATAGGTCCAAAATAACAGTTTCCTTTCTGCCCCCAATTTTGGTATATTTTGAGAAAAGTGGTGTGTACTAACAAACAAACATTACTGTACTCAGGGGCTTTGATTAATTCTTTCCTAAGCCAACTCTTCAAAAGTGGCACAGCTCAGACAGCTAGCATTTTCTTGGACTCCAATTAGAGCCATGCTGTTGAAGGATTAACATGGCACCTTTGCTCTAGTTCCAAACAAATAAGCCGGGTCTTGTCAGATTTATTTCACCATGTAAGGGGCTTGATGTGACTACTCTGTGCCTCTCCAACTTTTGGCTTTTCTTGCATGTGAAAACCCTTTGCATAACCCTATATCTGTCATCCTCTGCCCCCAGTGCACTTTGCGTTCTTTACTGGGGAACCCTTGCTCACCTTGCTAGCTTCTATAACATCTCTCAGAAGTCTCTTTTCAGCCCCACAGACCTGGTTAGCTCTCCTGTCAGGCTTGCAGGGCACCTTCAAGTCTCCATCAGACACTTCTGTATCCCTCGCACAAGTGTTAGTTCCTAATGCCAACAGCAGCCTTCCGCCCTGAGCACTCCACCCACCCACCTGGCATGTAGTAAGATCAATGCCTATTTGTCCGACTGATGCAAGAATTCAGCATACAGTCATCCCTCCCCTCGCCGCCTTATCTGAGAGGGCTCCATTCCGAAATCCCCTGTTTTTTGGGGATGCCTAAAACCTGAAACCCAGGACAGTACCATACTATGTTTTTTCCCTATACATATGCACCTGTGATAAAGTTTAGTTGATACATTAGGCACAGTAAGAAGTTAACATGAGTAGGTCCTTCACGGAGAACCAGCGATCGCACCATGTGTTAGAGGAGCACGGGCCTTAACTGTTTGGCCTGTGATCTATATCCTTCAAATGCACAAAACTACCTGTAGGCCAGAGAATAAATCACAACCTTTGCAGATCCAGGTGCTACTTAATGTTTCAAATGAATGGTTTCCAAGTACTGATGAGGCCATTAGAACGATAACTTGGCTCTCAGAACTCCCCCTCAATTCACTTTGATGAGTTAAAATTCTCACTCTTGGAGACAAACACTCCTTAGGAATTCAAGGAGAATTTGAGTGACAGGGATATTTCAGAAAGGAAAAAGATAAATGAATCGACATATCAAATCCTCTAAGATAGTAAGAGCTCAGTAGATGCTTTCCTGATGAACTTTGTCCGTTGGTAGAGATGAATGATCGTTTCTTTGGTTTTCTTCATGTTCCAGTTCATGGTTTTGGAATTACAAGAAGTTGCATATGGTGGCTGAAGACTATTTTGCAATATTAATTTGCATTATTCTAAATTTGTGTATGTGTAACTTTATATAGTAAGCTGTTTCTTTACATTGGCTATTAAAATATGAACATTAACTGCTGGAATCATGAATAATTTAATTTTTATAAAAATGTGTAAAAGTATTTATGAAACTCAAATCAGATAAGCATTTTCAACTTTATTTTTAAATTTTATTTAAAAGTTTAATAATTATCATTTGTATCTTAATCTTAGATAATTTTCAATATTTGGTCTTAAAGGTATGAAAATAACTAAACATTTTTACATTCATTTGAATCTTTGTAATTTGATGAAAACCTTCAAATTGTGTATACTTTGATTAAACTTACATTTTACTTTTAATTAATGCCTTAGATTAATACTGTCAGTAGAGCTTAAATTTTGTGAAAATTCCATTATAACAACATAATTGGTGAATTTGCTGAAATGAAGGCAAGAAAATAAAATTTTGGAATATTTATATTTATATTATATTAAATAATATAATTTTATAATTTAAAAATCTATAATTTATAAATCTATAAGCCTTTATTTTATTATACATCACATATTTTTTATTTTGTTTTATAAAATATATATCTAACAATCTAGGAGGATAGAGCATATTTAATATTTTACTAGGTTAATATGTATTTTTTTAATATTTCTGTGGATGGATTTCTGATCCATTAGGACTTTGGCTCTGACCTTTCTAGATCTTTGTAGCTACAAGAATTCCAAGAGAAGATGTGCCCTGTCTTAGGTGTAGAGTCACACTTACTATTTGAAGAGTCTCAGTATAACTTTTCCAGACCCAGACACCTGGTGTAGTTTATGTTTGTCATGGCACTATTTCAGAAGACATTTCCAAGTCAGTCTTGAATTTATACCACTCAACTGCCCAGCAAAAAAAAATTAGTTAAAATATGCATGGAAAAAAAAACAAAAACAAAAACCACCTCAGAGGATTTGGAATTCACAGGACTTTCCTCTCGATTTACTCTAAAGTACCTGTTAGACGTGATTGTAACTAAAGGAAAATATCCTATCTCTTCCTTTCTGTTGTTTCCCTCCATTCTCTCAGCAAGCAATCTTAGAGGTTTTTGGGAGAAGAGAAGAGGAAATGGGTACCCAGATGGGTTGCAACAGTAACAGAGCCTCGCTTTGTAACTGCTGGCTTATCTCCAGGTTCTACTGAAATGACATATGCACACACACACAATTTTCATGTATTATAATTAAAAATATAAACCTATAAAATACAATGCATTTAACTGGAGTCAAGACCGTTCTACCCCTGTTGGGGATTTAAAAGGGTATTTACATGTTTGTTTTTGAAACTTGAAAGAAGGTTGGGGCACCTGGGTGGCTCAGTAGGTTAAGTGTCTGACTCTCCATTTCTGCTCAGGTAGTGATCTCAGGGCCCTGAGTGCTTAAGAGTCTCTTTCTCCCTCTCCCTTGGCCCCTCTCCTCTACTCCCACCCCCTCTTACACAGGTGCATGTGCACTCTCTCAAAAAAAAAAAAAAGAAACATGGAAGGATGTCATGTTTACATTTATTGCCTCTACCGCCTTTCTGTCCTCAGTCCACTGATGATAAGACAAGAGAAAACTAGAGATCAGCAAAATGAATCATTTTCAAAACGCAATGCTAATTACAGGGTCTACATGGTCACAACCCCTGGGAGATGAGTTTTGATTCAATTCAATATGGCAAACATTAATTTTCAATAAAACCATGAAATGCAAAGCACCTTACTAGGCACTGTGTAGTTATAGGATGAGAAGAATATTTCCACTTTTAAAGGATAGAAATGGCCTGTTTGAGGCAGAGGAAGGTGAGTAGGAAAACATTTCCACAAAGTAACAGAGTGTGTCCTGTGGGCTTTTTTCACTCTGACAAGGAGAAGCTCTCTTGTTATTCTGGCCTGTTTCTTGGCTGCAAAACTAGAGCCCCAAATTTTTCTCTTCTGCTGATTATAAGTTTAAAGCACTGTCAATGGAATAAGTATACATTAAGAGCAATAAGTAAGTAAGTAAACAAATAAATAAATATTTAAACTCTAGAAAGATTGCAAATTCTTAGTGATGTTGTAACAGGAAGAACCAACAATGAGACAAGTGTCTTTGCTTAGTGAAGACCTAATTAATGTTTATAAAATGCTTTGAGAATACCAAGCACTGCAGAAGTTTAGATATTAGTATTATTATCACAGATCTTTAAGCATACATGACCTAGATATTCTTATAATCACAGCAGTTGTTCATTCCCTGGGTAATTTATAAGGAGATAAGAAAATAAACCCCACCTCTCTTCATGCTTGATTTGCCAGTTGTTCTTGTTATATGTAACTGATCCTCAAGGGAATTTAAATTTAGGCAACAATTTATTCTGTTTGATATTATTTTGGCATTTGGTAATTACTAAAGTTTTGGTACATCTGTCTTTCCCAGAAGAGAAGGCATTAAATACTGCTTGGAGGATCATTGGTTTTGTAGGAACTCAGATTTGATGTTATTCTTCTGTTAAATAACACAATTTATGGAAAATTTTCCAGTTCTGAGCCACACAGATGATGCATTTCATGACCCGTGGAGTCTGTGCCACCCCAATACTGGATATTTCACCAAAAAAAGCTGTTGGTCACGAGAAGGCTATCTTCTTTTTCATATGAAAAAAACTGACCTTTCTTATTTTCCCATTATATTTTAAAGTAACTGGAAGATATCTGGAAATTTTCAAAAATAAAAGGAAGACTGGAACAAAGGTCAGAAATTTCTTGGGAACCACTTTCTAAGACTCCCAGTGGACCTCCCAAAGAAAACAAATAAGACCCCAAAGACCCAGGAACGAGAAGGA